TCTTTGGGCCACATGAAGGGTGGCAGGCAGAGCAGCATGGTCACTCTGCTTCACAATGTGCGGCTGAAAAGGGGGCAGCAGGCACACCGCAGAGTGTACCAGATTGCTAAGAGTCGGCAGGGAAATTGTTCAGGACTCGGACATCAAGAATCCAACACATCTGTCCCTGGGCCAAATTCAGTAGAAAGTGTGCACACTATCAGTGAAGAAATAAAACACGCCGACACCGAGTCAGAATAAAGATACTTCTTTATTATTGTTTTGCATTGTTGTGTCTTATATAGACAGCTGATAGTGTATATGTAAACTTAATTTACATTACAGCTTTTACATTACAGCCTTTACAGCTTTCTAGGTTATAATTGGACGGATTCATTAAAGCGTAGCCTCCTTCCAGCATTCTGACGTCCTCGTCTTGGGTGTTTATTGTTCCGCATTGTTGTGTCTTATATAGGCAGCTGATAGTGTATATGTAAACATAGCATTTGCGATAACTTTCTAGGTTATAATTGGACTGATTCATTATATATATATAGATTACAATATATTGAAATAGGCATTTTTATCATAGTCACTTAACCACATCCATTACAAAATGTGTAAGAGCCATACACATCTCCCCGCAAATTGGGCTGCTTTGGCCGCCAACCTGTCCAGCCCCTGTTTGCAAGGAGCTGGGCGGGATGCTGAGACGGGCGGAGAGATGCACCTGCTCAAAAGGTTTTATGAGAGTTGAATCATTGTTTTAAATTAAAGTGGACCTGTACCCATATCTTAAAAATAACAACAAAGACACCTTTAGAAATGTTTAGTAATGACAATCTACAAACAGATACTTCTAGATAATTGCCGGCTTTGTATTCTTTGCACACCTTATTTACTTACTTCCTGGAACTCTGGCACATGTGACTAGAACATGTGATCATGCACATGATCTCAGGGGAGGAAAATGCTTTTCTCAGAGATCTCATGAGATTACAGATGAGATTTCCCAGCAATGCTCTGCTGTTGTAACCTTCCCAGGATGCAACGCTTTGGCACATTACATAATTTGTGCCAAAAGTGGACCAGGAAGTAGATGAACTCTATTTGTAAGTGAAAAATAAGTTTGTTTAACTAATGAATGTAAGATGATTTTAAATCAACATGCAGAGCTGATGCTGGTGTGCTTTTAAGTGAAATGGGGTAAAGGTCCACTTTAGAGGGAAACCATGGGGAGAGTGAAAAACACTCATCCCCGTAGTTGGAGCTGATGTGTGATGCTGCAGCTGTCTGCTCTACAGATCAAGAATGTCGTGATCACAAACCGCTCACGATCATCTCCCTGCAGAGACTGTCAGTCACCGCTCCTGCTCAATTCCTCCAGCGCTGACTGGAGGGACAGACAGGTGAGGGGGCGGGCACAGCTTGCTCTGGCTCTAGAGAGGAAGGCGCTAGCCTTCAATCAGGTGGAGGAGTGGATCCCAACAATATTGTCAGCATATAGCAGGTGATAGGCCGCTATATCCAGTTTTGGGTCACCCCATAAAAAAACAAATGCCAAAAAAAGTTTGGACATAGTTCTCAAGTTTGTCAACAATAACTCAATGGGACCTATTTTCAAAGCAATTAGTTTGATATCCACAGGTGCTTATCCAATCTCTAATTAAAAAAAACATTTACACCTGCAGAGAATACTTGGTAAATGTCACAATTAACTGATTTATAAATATGCCCGTATCCCTAATTTGCACACCTCAGCAACTCATTTTATAAGCATTTGGTACACTGTTTTAATACAAAATAGCTTAGTATACTGACTAATGCACAAAAATAAAATTGTTTTACCTTCTTTGTTATTTTTAATAATGCAATTGTATCTGATGGTTTCGTTAAATAGACAATCACTGCGGATTAAAACTGCAGCCCAAGGGCATCGTGCTGTTACACAGTTGTAGGATATCACAGTTCATAGCCAAAGTTAATATTCATAATAATGTGAAGTGGGAATTTACATAGTTAATTTTCCTTAAGCCATTATCTTTGGTGTTAGTATAGCTGGGCACTTGGTGTTAGTATGGCACTTTTTTTGCGTTCCCTCCCATCTATGATGTATTTCCCCCTTTTTTTTCAAGAACTAGTTTAGTGTCATGGCTGCCAATAGCAGGAACACATGTACATGATAGCTTGAAACAATATCATCCTTGACCTTCAAATGCCATCTATTCATTCATCCTGCTGCATGCAATAAAGCATTTTGTGGATGAAAAGGTATTTGGTGAGTTCAGCTATCTGATGAGGATTGTCCGTAGTGATTTTATCTGCTTATACAGGCCATGCATAGAGGTCTCAGCAAGGGGGATAAATTGCTAATACAACAATCAGAGTCAGAATAGGCATATTTTAAGGAACGTTTTTCATGTTAGGGTTTTGCATTCCCAGACAAGTGCATGGGAATGCAGGACCCACGGAATGTAGGGAGGAGGGTCAACTGCAGGTCGAGTGCATCTGTCATTGAAATTTGAATGATCTCCAAAGTGTCTCAAACTGATGCCATCGATACAAGCCCAAAGCCTGGCAATAGAGGCCCTTAAGGTGGCAATGATCATCTGTAGGCTTTCATTTTTGCCAATGGAGCCTCCAGCCTGCCTACTATGTTGGAGTTGACATAGTGATCACATGACTGGGAACCACTCTGTTATTAGGGACCCTGGCTATCACTGACCACTGGGATTGAGAGCCACGTGAAGCATCAGCTGTTGGGGTTGTTAATATACAGATTTCGACTGGGGAGTGGTTGATGCACAACGTATGGTAGCCATAGGCACAGCAGGGCAGACAGACATGCAGACGCACAGTCATTGTAGACTTTACATTCTGCTTTTCGCCCGGCCGTCATGCAGACCTTTTGGCTCCATTATTTTAGGCTCAGTACAAGTATACAAATAAAGACTTCTAACTGTACTCTGACTTTCCTGATATGCCTGCTTGTTCTCGGTCTGTGCCTCTAATAAGGCAGCATAACTGCCAGACATCTAAAATCTTCAGAAGCAAGTCAGCAATGGCAGTCCATGTATTTATTTCATAACCTATAGCCCATTCTAAATGTGTGCATGAAAAAAACCCCAACATGTAAATGAATGAAAGTGTGTTAATGCTTCAAACCCTTGTTTGTAGGCTTGTGATACAATGTATACATGAAGGCAGCCATGGGCTTTCCCTGCCTAAGTTCTCTCTTGCTAGACTTAAAGGAGAATTATGAAGCAAGTGATTTTGACTCAGCCTCATAATCTGAGCCGACCTGTGACAATGAAACTGTCACAGGTCGGCTCAGTAGATCAGGAAGTGAGCAAACACATAACGTCGCTCGCTCACTTCTCGATCTATCCCTGGAGAGAGCTGTGACTGTCACTCACGGCTCCCTGCAGGGATTCCCCCCCTCCCTGCTCCGATCCTGACTGGCGGAACGGACGGGGGAGGGCACAGCTGGCTCTGCCTCTGGATAGGCAGAGCCAGCTGTCAATCTCGAAGCTGGGTGGATCTCGACAGCAATGTCGGGATCCGTTCTGGCTGCGGCGTCTCAGTGTACCGTGAGCTGTAGCTCGCGGTATTCTGAGCTTTGGGTGACCCTTAGGAGAACTATGGGGAATAGCCCTGACCCCATAGTTCTCCTTTATGTTACGGAGATAAGGGGGGGGGATTTCAGTTTGCAAAGGCAGCATTTTGGGCTCCTCAGGTCCATCTAGTGGCCACAATTGCGGTGTTACATTACATACATTCAACCCAAAAAGCTCCTCCATCTCCTTATGGCTCCTTTTGAAATGGCCGCCTCTGTGCTTGCAAGCAGTATGTGCAAAATAACGTGAAAGGAACAAAGAAAGATTCGCAGGATGAACGACCCTGCATATGGACTAGAAATAGTCCCCTTAAAGTGATGCATTATTGTTACAGTTCTTTTCTCACAATTGGATATACAACCCAGACACTTCCCACGTCTGTGGCCATTTTCAGTCTTTTTTCATTATTAGTCCTATAGAAAAAAAACAGAGCCACGATGACCAGAAAATGTTTATACTCAATAATTTATTAGCAATATAATGTAAATGCCGTAACAGTCATTTCCACCATCCACAGTAAGCGAGATACATTCAGTCCTGGGCACCACCGCCAGCAGCAGCCCAGGGCGCAGTCTAAATGACGTGTGAGACCACACAGGCAAAGAGAGGGAAAGCCCAGCAGGTCTCCGTTTATCGAGCAGCAAGAAAATCTCTCCAGGATCAGCCCTATGCCGCCTCCTAAATTCAGGCCTAAGTCATGGAAGTCTAACTGAGCTAAGTACAAGATGGCTGCCACAACGGCAGAAGCGATGGCTGCTGGTGACTTCCTAACTAATACTCCGGGACGTACAATGCTGGAGATTGTTACAAACAGCCCCGTTAATGCTGCGATTGTCTAAGGGATAAGAGCTAAAATCTCGAACGTGAAATATTAAATAAGGAAAAGATTTTTGTCCGGCCTCCCAGGGTGGACACAGTTATAATATGGAATGCCAAGTCCACCCGCTATTTCAGTTTTTGGGTGGGTTTTGTCCCAAAAACTCCCAGCCACGTCCACCTGCTACATTCTTTACAAGGGGGTGGGGGGGCTTGTGGGAGTCACATCATCACATTAATTTTTAAAGGAAATTATTCATTATTTTACAGCATGGAGAGCGTAGCAACAAGAGCGAGACACTTTATGGCCAAATGGAAATGGAAGACGAATCCTACTACTGAAGTCCTTTTAAAACGATAAAAAGTTAGTTGGTGACCCAACCTCTAGCCAACCACCCATCACTGAAATATTTTCTTCAATGGACAACACTAGGGCAGAAGACGGATGGAATATTACAAAATAAATAGTACTTTCTGTGCTTTATACATTGAACTCAAAAGACCTTGAAGAAAAATGTTCTTTTAAATAAGCGAAAGGGATGTAAAAAAAAAAAAAACGAGCGGAAAAAAAAAGGGTTCTCCTACTCTAGAGGGGACAGTCCACAGAGTTCATTAATACTGCTAATCTACATCGGAGACCGAGATCTGTTGACAGTCGATTCTTCATGCATTGCCGTGTGGAATACACTCCCGGAAATTCTTGCCCTGAGAAGTATTCAGAAGACCAAAAAAGATAAAGCAACGAAGCTACTTCATATCGCATCATCAGCAGGAAGACAATAGCGTCATAGAAAAAGAGATATCTGTTGTAATTGGTTCTCCAGAAAAAAAAAGGTGCCTTGATGACTCAAGGCTTGCAGTCTGCTGTGCAATTATGCTACAACCAGCTTGGATCCAATGTGAGATATTAATAATGAAAGTTTAAAAAAGTTCCTAGGATCAGGATTACTTCATGATCATCATGTGTCCTTCACATTAATCAGATGGCTTCTGTCCTCCTAGTCTATGGGTATTGTGCATGTAAACAAGTCTTCAGGTTTCCTTTGCTTAACAGTTTCGGGCACGGATGTTAACCACTTGCATGCTTTCTGGGAATCCACCAGTAGAGGGCATCACCTGGCCCAGCTGTTGAACTGGCTGTCCTGGCTGGTGATGGATTTGACGCTGCACCGCTTTTTGACGATCATGTTAATGTACGCCCTCATGATCTTGGGGATCTCCCCAACCTGGGTAAACACAACACATTGAAGATATTTCGTATTAAAAAAAAAAAAGCAACAAAAAAATAGTACAGAACTAATAAAGCTGAACACAGGCAAAAATGTAAATGCATAGATTAAATACATCAGTGGCGTTACAAGGGGGGTGCGGCCCGTACCCAGGTGACACCATTGGAGGGGTGACCCCAAAATAACTGACAGTCTCCACTCCGGGTGACACCTGGCCTTGGGACGCCCTTGAACACATTCAGTTATAATCAAAATGATTCAACCACCATTATAAATCAGTAGGGCTGCGGAAATTAACAATTAATCGTTAATTTTTTTGATCGATCAAAATTATTTTGATCGATCAAAGTTCTTTGGCTCCGTACTCACCTCTCCGCCGGCTTCCGGGTCTTCCGTCGGAGATCCGGTGACATCACGGACATAGACGTCACCGGACTCCTCCCCCCTTCCACAAGTGGCTCTGTCGGCTAACGAAGGGAAGGGGGGAGGAGTCCGGCGATGTCGATGTCCATGACGTCACTGGACTCCTCCCGCTTCCCTTCGTTACCTGATGGAGCTGCTTGGGCCGGTGAGTACACTTCCTAACTCTCCCGAGTGATAGCAAATAGCGTTATAATTAATAGCGTTATAATTAATCGATTAAAAAAAATTTCGATTAATCGAACAGGACATTTTTAATCATTACCAGCCCTATAAATCAGGTTTAAATCAGGCAAAATTCACAGGCTTTCAGCTGTTTGCAATGAACAAATCAAACAAAAGCAATTGAATAGTCAATACAACAAATGTTTCAGGTGGTTTCCCCAAATCCAGCTGAAAATGCAACTTTTAATAAACTTCTGCAGTCTAAAGCTGGTCATACACCTTACAATTATCTGCAGATTTTCTGTGGTCAGGTGCACCAGATTCCTCCATCTACACTTAACTGTGTGGATGGAGTAATCTCCACCTGGGCCAATCTGTTGCACTTTTTCCATCTGACCACAGAAAATCTGCAGATAATTGTAAGGTGTATGGCCAGCTTTATGCTGAGCACACACCTTACAACCATCGCAAGACTTTTATCTACAAAGTGTCTGCACAAAGTATTATGGTCTGTCTCTCTCTTTCCCCCTTGATGGTAAGTGGCAGAGTGAAGCAGATTATTTATGACAAAGCAATGTCCGTGCAGGAGGAGATGTTGATGCATAGCTTTGCAATAAAAATGTTGTCAGCCGGCCAACTGGTTTCAACATGTATCTCCTTTACACAGCATAACCGTGATTTATTATTTTCTTAATGACAGGAATAGAATTATGCAACTACAGTACGGTTAAATGTGTAAGTGGTAGAGTCATCCATCATCCCCCGCTGTCCTTTGTAGGAGGACATCTAATGTACTGAGCCCCCAGAACGAGAAAGGCAATTGAACATGACATTGTGGCATCTTGGACATTAAAACTAATTTAAAGCATACTTCCACTTTTGCATCCGAATTGGGAGAACACCGAATTTATATTTGTTACTTGGTACCTGTTCCCAGACATACTGCACAAGTTAGCATGACCCTTTTTAGTTGCCTTTAATGCAATGTATCACTTTAACTGACAAGTGTTTCCCTGCACCCTTCAGCCAGACACAAACCTGAGTCGTTTCAAAGAACATCTCCCGATCATCTACTGTGATCTTGAAGGTGTTGGGCTGCGGAGCTCCAAAAAAGATGATGTGCTCGTACTGAAAGGTTTCCAGCGGCCTCGGTTCCCCCCTCTTGTAGACGGAGACGTTTTCTGCACTGATGCCCAGCCACAGATCGTTAGGAAAGCCTCCTTCCTTATACTGTAAGAAGAAGTAAATCAATAAAAACAGGATTTGGGGTTTTGTCGCAAAAGGCACAGTACAAAATTTGGCTCTATTGTTCAGTAACTGCAAA